TATTGAAGATTTGTGGGGAAAGGGAGTACCTGAACTCAAGTTTCATAAAAAGTCTTATAGAGGATAGACTGCAAACACTAGTTCTACCTAAAATTTTCAATTAAATGAGTGTAAATTAATATTTCTTTTTCTTTCAAATCAAATATTTCAAGAATTATTGACTCAATAATTTGGTCACTCTGACTCAACTAAACCGTGTAAAGTAGAAAGAAATATCTTATGGGTCAATCCCAATCGAAGCCAGCTCAGATTCTACAATTACTTACTTATCGGCCCAAAAAAAAGTTCTTCCACTTCTAAATTCTCTGTTTGCTACGGTGAAACAGCATATGTCCGGAAAGCACAACACCAAAAGGACTTATCGGCCTAAAAAAAGAGGGTTTATCTAATTTTTACATAAATTTATAATTAATTTGTATAAATTTTTATATTAAATTCATATTATTTTATAGATTTTGAATATAAATATTATATTATATTTTAATTTTATATTTTATTTTAATTATACTTAATAAAAAAATTTATATAAAATTAATTAAAAATATTACATTTAATAAAATTTAATTTATACTTTAAAAATATAAATTAAAAAATTTCAAAAAGGGAAAAATACTACCACCACTAAATCCTCCATTTGCTACAGTGTGAAACAGCATATGTCCGGAGACCACTAAACCAAATTTAGGAGCGCCCAAACCAAAACCCTAGATATGAATCCAGATTTTAAAATTAACAATTCAAAACCTAACCTGATGCTCCAATTACCGACTTGATTACGTCTATAATCAAGATTAAGTGGGCGCATCCCCGCATTACTTATTTAAACCCTCCTCTCGTTTTTCCTTCTGTGCCAGATACTCTCCTCTCCTCCTCTTCTTCCGGTACATCTCCTTGTCTCCTCAGGTGAAGCAGATCCCAACCATTTTTCGATTTCGTTTTCTCTGCGATTCTTCCATAGATTCCGAGATGGTCTTTACTTTCAGAATGCGATTTTTGTGATTATGTTTGTGATTATGTCTTTATATTGCTGCAGTTCCTTGCTCGCATTCTCGGTGAACGATAATAATATTCTTGTTTGATGCTCGTTCGAGCTATTAATTTGTCTTGTTTTCAATTTATTTCTGAAAACAGCATTGAGTATCGACGTTTAGTTTCAGTAAAAGCTGTAGCTGTTTGGCTGCTGAGAAACTGCCAGAAAAAGGAAGCAAACCTGGAATTATCTTTTCACTGATAAAAATTTCCGTATCATCAGCTTTCGATGTATTTTCTGAGGCTTTCTCGGCAGCCAAACGGAGGAGAAATCGAGGATTATGATTTGATGATACAGAAAAATTAATAGTGTTTTCTGTTTAAATTTTAGATCGCGTTTATTATATAACTGTTTGCTTATTTTTGTTTGCATTGTCGAATATTTACAGATGATACTTAGAGGCGGAGAGGATTAGCAGATTTCCGGCCAGGTTTCAGGTGAGAATAGTGATTTCTCCTCTTCTCTTTTTCCTTATCTTTTTTTATTATCTTGTGCCGTTTTCGATACGGTGTATGCAGTTCACTTTTTGCATATTGTTAGCCTTTGCAATGATCAACCTAGCTTCAATTTATCTGCCGTACTGAATGAATTCGCTCCCTTTTCGTTTAAATTGAGATGCTTAAGATATGCGATGAGACAGTTGCTTTAGTTACAGTTCTTACTTTTTCCAGATTCATTCTCTATCTAATATTTTGTTGTTATATATTTTATGGTTTTTATTCCAGTAGAATCATTTATTATTGATCATTAGTTTTTGGATTGTAAATCCATGGTTTTTTACATTAATCTCTCATGGAAAAACACATAAAATATTGTTGTAACCTATATCTTTGTGCGTATGGTTTTTTGTGAATATCTAGGAATAATTGTAATTGTTAGTGGCTATTAATTATTTTCTCCAAATAACTGAAGTCTAATGAAGCAACAATATATCTTATCTGTTATATAAGTTTTAGTTATAGTTAGACGTATGACTATGTTGTGGCTGCATACTATGCATTGGTGCTTTCTGTTCCCACCCCTTAAAAGCTTAGTTGCTATCATCTTGATTTGTTCTCTTGATTATGAATAAATTTTCCTTATTTCTATATCTTGATTTGGTCTTTTCGTATTGGATTTTAGAATTAATTAGTATGCTTTACATGTACATTGAGAGCATAAGATAGTACAAAACTATTTAAAGTTGTAAAGCATTAGGAATTTCTTAACCATGTAGCTCATACATATAATCTAACAACTTATTTTTCTTGTTTTAGGAAGGTGAGGTCTAATGATTAATCCTACTTTCCTCTTAATTCCCATTTATGTACAGAAAAAAAAAAATTCTTTATGTATGAAGAGGTGAACACTTATTTGCCAAATAAAAAGTCCACACAAGGGCATTTGATTAAAAAACTAAATGAAATATAGTCAAATAAGAAGCCATAGATTCATTCTTTTCCCACAAGTTAGACATCCCTTTCTTTTTCTAACCTAATGTATTTCTGAAAAATGTCCCTAAATCTACACTCAAGTCTATGGTAGTGTAAATTGTATTGATTTAGAGCTTATTTAGTCCTTCTGGTGATTATAGATTTTGAGAAATGTTGAAATATGAAATCATATGCAATAATTAATAATTTTAAAAGTTAATAACATTTCCCAAACTCAAAAGTTTACTTGCAAAAACTCTACTTCAAAAGCTACAAATTTACAATTTGAACTTCTAAGCCTCCAAAAGTTACAATTATGAATTAACTTCTAGAGAAGCCAAAAGTGCTTTTAAGAAAGTTTTGTTTGTCTCAACTTCTGCGTACAAAGTTGTTTTGTTTTAGAAGTAGAGCTAAATGGTGCCAAAGAGAGTTTAGCCAAGTTGGTACCCACTAAATTAAAAACTTTGATTTGGGGTTAATGTTAGGGGTTCATCATTTTGCAAAAAAATAGTAGGGCTAAATGGTCATATGGACTTGGTAACTCCACCAATACATCCTTTAGCTGAGAACAAGCAATCCATATTATAACATCTAAAAATTTGGGTGCTCTTAATCATTTTCTTTTAAAGTTTGGCAATGATGAGTAGAAGACAATAAGAAATGTTCCAACCCTTCTTTTTATGCCACCACCCATGTTTCTTTAAGCTAAATCTGGCTTGAGCACAACTATTTAACAAGATGAGCATGGATTGAGGTAAGCTTGACGTAAAGCTAAACTTAAGCAGCAAGTGAGTGGACCAACTCATTTACGACCCTAAGAAATTGTAGGTAGACCCAAATCACCTTTTTTCAATAGTGAGAAACTAGGAACATAGCATGAGAATAGTGGAGATGGAAATTCAAGGGCAACAACAGTGGTTTGATCCTTGGTGCCCAATATGGGATTTCAATTTCAAATCAACTTTAGGAGAAATCAAGTAATTTTTTGATTGTGTAAGATAAGAGTGTAAGTATTAGAGAATTGAGGTATGGAATTTCTCTCTTATTAATGGAGAAAAGAACTAAGTGAAATGGTTAATGGAAAATGGTTACTTTTGACCTAGTTTGTTATTTTTTCAATATTCTAATATATTATAAAAATTACTAAAATATTAAAAAGAAAAATTGGCCAGTTTGGTTTTAATTGGTTTTCCAAAATAGCAAACCTAACCAAAGCAATTGAGAAGAGGTAGTTTGCTACTTTTATGTTTAGCTTTTTCGCTCTTTTTCTATCCTATTTTCCTTAAAACTTGTTGAATAAAGAGTTGCTATTTCCAATTAAAGTGCTAATTAGTAAGCTTAGCAACAGTGATGTTGCTTTTGGCAAAAATTAATGCTATATACCCAATTGAACGGTCAGTTTTCATTTAAATCCGTTTGGTTCAGTTAATTGTTTAAGTTAAGCATGATTCAGGGTTAAAAGGATAGATAGAAGTTTGGGGAGGATTACATTAGCAGAATACTACAAAGGAAGAAAAAAAAAAAAGGTGGCTTAACATAGAATGTAATTACAATTGATTATAAATTAGAATAGTTTAAGTTAGAAAGATTTATAACGTACAGAAAATTTCCATTACTTTTCTGCTTACATACCTGTATGATAATACCTGTAGTTATGAGATTGCATCTGATACGATTTGAATCTTCTCTTTCCAGCATGAAAATCAATAATGGAATGATATAACAAACGGAAGAGGAACATTAACTGGGAACCCGCCTCTGAAGTCAAGGTATTCCTCAGCATTGAATGCTCAGTTTTCTTTTATTTACTGTCAAGGTATGCTTGATATTTTGTTTTGGTTTCAATACCATTTTAGATGATATTTTATTTTAGTGCCAGTACCTTTTTAGATAATTAATTTTCTGGTAGATAGAGCATTTCTAAGTTTTAAAAGCAATACTAAAAATATAATATGAAAATTAGCATTTGCAACTTTGCTTTATTGCTGCCTTGGTTAAAATTGTGGATGAGACAGCATCATCTTGTATATACAAAAATATACATACATATATATATTAGCTCGCAAACTAAAAGTATCTGTCTTTGAATTTTGGTCAGTGGTTTATTGTTGGGTTTGAATCCATAATTTTATCTAGAAATATAAGAAAATTGGGACAGATTTAGAAATGACCTAGCACAATAATGCAGATTTTGAAATGACCTAGCATAATAATGCAGATTTTGAAATATAACAAAATAAGGGTTTGCAGATTTAAATTGTGATCTAAGGTTTTCTTGAATGTGTTTCTGTGGTTCTTCTTTTTGCATTGTATTACATTGGCTGACGTTGAGTGTTTGAGCCCTCAGCCCAACCCCATCACTCTCCTCCCCTAGCAAATATAATTGTAATAGTTGCCTTCTTTCCAAAAAAAAAAAAAGGTTTAGCTTAAAGATCATCCTTTATGTTCAAACTAAGTACAATCAATTGAGTTAAACCTTAGCTTTTGGATTTGAAGGATGAAGTTTTGGGAGGATTACCTTTGATAGTGAACCACCATTAAGGTGGCTTTTCATGGGCATATTGGATGTCCTTAAGATGTTGTAGGACAATACCTAGGTATATGATTGTTTCAAAGAGAAAGCCAAGAATCAACGCAATAATAAGTGGATTTTCATGGTAGAATTATTGATATCGAGAACATTCATTTCTAAATGCACCATCACTCAAGAAGTACAAAAATAAAAATGTTAGTGATAGAGGGGTCGGGAAAGGTTGTTGCATAATGGCAAAGCTAGTTGCATTCAATAGCATGAGCTAGGATTTTATCAGGGGGGCCAACTGTTATACTACAGGAGAAGAAAATCAGATAATTAAACTTCATATTTGACTTCTAAATGTAGTAGAAAATTAACTCTGTTAAGATTTACACCTACAAAAACTGAAATCATGTGCCTTAAAGAAAAATTTCCTAAAATTTATGTCATTACTCAGTATCTAAGGTTCAGTTTAAAAAAAATTATTATCACAAAATATTAACATATATCAACCAATAAAACTAAGTTATATTTTAAAAATTAAAACAATGATGTTCTTAAAAATTACCATACCAAATTGTAGTTATTTTTTTAGTATAGCCCTTAGTTTGGGGACAACAAAACACAACCCATATTGTACAGATTTTCAATAACCAATTAGCAATATCATAAATGACAAAAAAGCAGCACTATGATAGCCATGTTAAGTAATCAAAGATATTCTAAAAAATAAAAGTTATTTACTTATAAGTAGGTAGTGATTTTTTGCACTGAAAAACAAAATTCATTATTCACTCATGACTTAATACAGACACATATATTCAAAATAATTGCCAAAGGAGTAAGAAAATTTGGTTTAAATTTAATCCAAGAAAAGTGAAAAGTGAAACATAAAATACAAAAAAATTTTAAAAGATTTTATAGACATAATACCAACAATTAGAGAAACATTTAAAAGGAATTAAAAGAAATTAATAGATATATTTTAATAATCTCTCAAATTAATATTTTATTTTTTCCAAAGTTTGGGGCGCTTTTTATACTTTTATAAGTTATAGGGCTCTATTTAACAAAATTTCAAGAGAACAGGGGGGCCATGGCCCCCTCTGGTCTCCAAGTGGCCACGCGACTGGTTGCATTGGTAGGGAAAATATACATTTACATTAGCTTTAATTACAATTTTGCCATCTGGATTTTTTAAAAAAAATAGGAAGTTAAAATAAATAAAAAAAAGAAAAAGAAAAAACGCGGATGCCATACTGTAGGGGCCGTTTCTGTAATTTGGTAGCCTTTGCACTTAGCCCAAGTGGTACTTACCAAACTATTGCTTGGAGCATCCGCTAGGCAATCATGCCAAACCATTGCAGGCAATCTCCTGTGGGAATTGCAACTGCCACCATAGGTCTACCAGGTGCCAACCTGTAATTGTTAGTTCCATAATGGTAATGGTGACATATTCACTTCCTTACACCATGCTTGGGAGTTTGAATCATCATAGTTACCTGGATCATTCCCTACTCGTAGTCATAGGAATTGTGATCTAGTTTGCATATTTCATACTGTGGTACGTTTACACTCAAGGAATGTGCTGTTTGAGAACCAGAATGCTAAAATTAGGGGCCAAAATTTTCTCCTACTTTTTCATCCATTCTTCCAAAATATAGCTTTCATTGCCCAAAGAAGAAGGGACAAAAGGTTTCTTTTCTTTTCCTTTTTCTTTCTTGTTTTTGAAATTAACTTAGCAGATAAAGAGAGAAAAAATTTTCCATAAAATAACTTAGCAGAAAAGGAGGGAAAAAAATTCAGTAAAATATTTAAATCCCACTTAACAATGATATGGTTATGTGTTAAGAGCATGTTTGGCAAAGCTACTTTTATGTTCAGCTTATTAGCTCCTCTTGCTTTATTTTTCATGTAGCTTGTTTGATGGTAGGTTGCTATTGCCTTTTAGCATTTGAAGTGCTAATAAGCAAGTTTAGAGATTCAAATCTAAAAGTTACTGTTTTTACTTCAAATGAGAAAATACAAAGAACTTTCTAGTTTTTGAAATATAGAACCAAGGAAAGTTTGAAATCATACTGTGAACCAACTAGAACTACCCCCCTTTAAACCAAAAAATAGTAAGGTGCATAGAACTAACCATGTCGTACCACATTCTGGGTAACCATGGGTTTGAGAAGTTGAGGAGTTCAAGTAAAAAATGAAAAGAGCAGATGGAATTATATGCAACACACCCGAAAAGTATTTTTAGTTTCAAGTCTATACTATGCAATACACCTAAAAAATTGCAATTAAAATTTGATATTAAATATGGTTGAGCTCAGTTTGATATCTTGTTTAATGAGTCAAGCTCGAACCAAGCTTTAGTTCTAGGCTTTCTTTTTTGTTTTTTCCCTGAGTCAAAGTTTGAACCATCCTTGAAGCAAGCTCCAGCTCAGAATTTCTAAATGAGTTGAGATTGAGTTTGTGGTATTCAGGCTCAACTCTGTTTTTATCCACCCTTAATTTGTATTAGAGAATTTTTATTTTTGGTTATTTTGTCTGTTTTAGATTTTAATGGGTGGCCTTTTCCTTTAAGTATTTAGACAAGGGCTTTCTTGTATTTTTAGAATCTAGCCTTTGAGTCTTTAGAACTTGTGTGCACAAGTTGTTCTTCTGGTGCTTCCTATAAATATAATTAGATGATGATATTATTTTCTTTAGTTTTCTATGGTTTAATATGATTATTATTTAAGAGCTTTGCAATTGTTTCAGAGGATTTGCAATTTGACCTATTGCAACCCTCCTCCTTTATCCGGGCTTGGGACCGGCTGTGTACACAATTATTCTTAGACAACGTGACACAGGCGGAGTTATTGCATCACAAGTGCACCTATTTCCTTCCTAGGAAGACATACCTTTGAACCATTGATTATATAGCATCCTGAAACTTAAATCGTGACCTTAATTGCTTTTAACCGATCGAAGGTATGCTTTAGTATGACACTTTTAGGTATTGTTGAAGAGAAGTGCATTTATATGCAAAGAAAATCGCATTTATGTGCATGTGTAGTCTTTGTTGGAAACAATCTGTACTTGTGAACATTTGGCCTTTAGCATTTGGCTTACATGATTTTTTCTACCCATGTATTGTTTTACTTTTGCCTACAACTTCTAAATTTGAAGTTTTTCTGCATTATCATGTTTTGTTTGATTCATTTAACTAGAAATATTAGTTTTTGTTCAGCACACTTTACTTCTTGTAATGTCTAGTATTTGATTGCAAAGATTTTAGTGTCTCTAATTCCTGAGTATGCTTATATCTAATATCTGGGGGCATTTGTGCATTTTGGCAGTTTATGCCAGTGTTGATTAAGGTGTCTTGAGTTACATTTGGAGCCCAGCATCCACATAAATGGCTATGTTTGTACATTATCATAAGGTATCTTTAGTAATACAAGTCTACAGTTGGGCTACTTATGGGTTGTTGTTGTTGTTGTTATTAGTGAAATATGGCCTTAGGGCTTTCGCATTTTGTGTTGTTCATTTTTAAATTGATATTAAATTCATATTTTGCAGTTTTGAACTGATAATAGCTCAAATTTCTGTGTTTTTTAGTTATCATGTAATCTTCATTTCTTTGCCTTTTGACCTGTAATTGTTTTATCTGTAAAGCACCTGGAACTTGCTATTTTGTCTTACACTTCATTTAGAAATGGTGCAATTGTCAAATTTGGTATTAGTTTTAAAAAACTGCCAAATAATGAACTGAAAATGCTGTCCACTTTCAGTTTCAAAATCTCCCTTTATTATGCTTGATTTATCTTTACAAAACTAGCTGTTTAACTTAATAATTGCACACACTAAAGTTTCTTTTTTTAATAATTTCAAACCAATGTCTTTGATGAATGATCAGTGGTTCACATACCACTTTTTTTACCATTAGAAGCATAACTTGGAAGCATGGACATATTTGTTGATAGAAACTGACATCCAATCCCATTGTGATGCAGCTGTTTGCTAAGGTAATTGGAGACTGCTGCAGTTTTCAAGAACAAGTTTGGGATCAAGATTATGTCAATCAAATAATTGGTATTCACAAAAATATTATCACCATGTGGAGGAAACTATACCCCAGCTTTGTGGCTCTTGTTGTTGTCTCGTAGTTTTGTTGATGTGGCTGGCTTAGCTGGAGATTGACAGGTACATGTGCGTCCTCCCCAATGCCTAGATCATTTATGAGCAATGAATTTCTTTTTGCACCATTTACATCCCTTGTTCCATATACCTGTGTTGGGGAACTTTTATTCTTGAGGATAGTTTTGTAAAGCTCATATTTTGACAAAAGCTTAATGGTTAAATCATTCTAGTCATCTAAAGGATAATTTAAGTTTCTACCAGTCATCAAACCAATACCTTCTTATATAATTCCATGTTTTCTTGACGTATTAGGTTTACCTTCTTATAGAGTTCCACATTTTCTTGATGAATGAGGCTTCCCTGCAATGAAAGAAAATGAAATTTAGCTGCTTGAGTTGATAAAGTACAATAGTAAGATCCTATATACGTCTTTTCCAGTATTCACCTTTCTGTTCAATTCTTGTATTTCATCCATTAGAATTTGATCCTGAAGAAGTAAAAGAGATAATTTGTTAGTATTCACAAGCTGTAGTTTGCTCAATATTTTTAATTTAATGGATTAAATATTGGATGAAGACAATAATTTCATACCTTTTTCATGCGGACACCTCGGAGACTCATTTCCAACTGGTTCTCCAGATTCTGTAAATCTTTTACACTCAATCCAGAAAGCTCTTGCCCCATCATTTGCCTGTTTTTGATGTATAGAAGCATAGTTTAAGCCTGTAAGTTATATCTTGGATATTCTAAAAGCTGTTAGCAAATTTTTCTTCTGAAAACGAAATTTGCATGCTGGGGCAGTTCTTTTAAACTTTCAGCAATATAGAAATCTTCATTAAGATAGACTGGAAACAGCACTTGTCATGGTCATTCTATTCTAGGATCATTTTGGTTTTACCTGTTGAAATATTGAAAATATAAACCTTACTATCATTCTATGTGGCTGTTTTAGAAATCTGGTTGTTAACCTATCTGCCATCAGCTGGATAAAATTCTTGCTGAATGCTTTTAAATAACTATTAGGGCACCAGCATCTATTAGCTAGCCTCCCAAAGGCCAAACCACACTTAGTCTAATGTAAGAGTATGCCTACAATGGAACTTAGCCTAGAATTCTATTTATTATGACAGACTGAAAACCAATGCTCTCGTGTCTTGTGATGAAGAGTATATATTCTCAAAATTTGATCATTCATATGCCTTTTTATAACATCATCATTCTTCAATTTGATCATCCAATTGGTGTAATAGGTCGAAAGAAATATTAGTCATACCGATGACTTTCTTGCAAGTTTTGCAGTTGTTGCCTCAGCATTGCTGCCTCCCTTTGCCAGAACTAGCAAATAGAAAGCATAATATGATGAGATTCTAGTACTCAGCTTTTACTGATGGACATGACTAGACTAGACAAAAACATTAAACATATTGAACTAGAATTTGGCAATAAAACAACCTTTTTGGAGGGCATTTGTCAGTATGAAAAGATGAAAATGTGGATAGTCATAATAAAATTGAAATTGTATCAAACAGGGACAGAACAAATCATCACATGCATTATTTTTGGCCTGCCTTTCTCCCTCTTCTGCAATTTCTAAGAGAAGGGATTCTAATAAATTTATGGCGTTAGTCTTGCATCAGTAACAGCCTTGACCAATTAAAATGCTGGTTGAGGCCCCAATTACACGAACTTGACTCCATTTAGAAGTCCACTTTAATCAATTATTTTCTTGAATTGTAAAATGAATCTAGCTTGCTTTTCTTTAGTGGAAAGAAAATTTTTAATGGGATAAAAGGTTATCTAAGCTGTTCTGTTCTGTTCTATGTGTTCTGTATGGTTACTGTCTCATGAGAATACAAGCTTTTAGCACTAGAGAAAAATATATATCACTTTTTATATTTGGTTATTTCTAAATCTCAAAATCCCTATGGTTCTATGGTAAATTCCGGATTCTGATCTAGTGTTAAACCATCAGCTAATTTTACAAGAAACAATTTTGTTTATTAGTTTATATATATGTATATTGGTGCATCTAAAATGATGACCCAGCAGATATTACAAGTTCTCTCTCCTTTTTATTTTATTTTTTGATATTAATCTTACAATTTCTTTACATACAAGATCTTCTGACTAACAACTCTCAGAAAAATTCTGCCTTGTCTACTTCTGCAGTTTGAATCAAGGGGAGAAATAAAGCAAAGTTGCAGATGCCGATTTTGCATATCATGGTAGCATTGTTTTTGAAGCTTAGAAATGGTCCATATACCAGAAGTTAGATAATAAGATAAGCATTTAAACCAAAACAATACATCAGCTATATATTGATGGTAAATGGAAGAATATTGAGCAGGGTACTGGCAAATACCTTGACTTCAGAGGTTGGGTTCCCCAGTTGATGTTCCTCTTTCGTTTTGCTATATCGGTCAATTATTGATTTCATGCTGGCAAGAGAAGATTTAAATACTATTAGACAAACTCATTTAACCCCAGGAATCACCGTACAAGGTATGTCCAGAAAGTACTAATATATTCTGTTTTACAGCATTCTTTCTACCTTAAACATTCTTACTTTTTATATTGTGGTCATTTTTTTGGCAGATAATTTCTATCTAGTCCATAAATCTGCGGCTGGATAGAACAAATGAAGTGCAAAACCTAAAAGTAAGTCTTTTAGTCTGTTTGACCTAACTAAAATGTTGTAGGAAGTGATGTTTTTAAAATACAGTTTCTACTATGAGCTAAATGGGAAAATCATGAATGGTCTACTTGCCCAAGCCTTTCCTTCAACCTCTAAATCTGACCCCCTAGAAGCTGGGATCTGCTTAAGAAAAAACCCAGAAATATGTTTTTATACACAAGGAAAGCCTATATAACCTAGCTTCAACTTCTACATAGAAGCCTCGTTATAGAAACTATCTTATGAAGGTATTTTGTCTTAATCTATCTTTTTGATTTACATAGATTTTGTAAATCATTTAAAAAATTCCTAGTTTAGGAATTACTTCCATTACTTAATTAAAAAAACCAATTACTTCCTTCAATCCTGAAGCTACTTTTCCTTTCTATGGGACTTGTATCTGAGATTTTGTGTATTAAATTATGTTCTTAATTAATCACCTTTACCTTTGCCAGAATGACATAATAGGTGTGTTTCCTTGTAAGCTAAACATATTTCCATTGACCTCTTGCTTAAAAAATTACATCCAAGAAGTTCTTAACCTTGGGAAAGAAAGAGCTTAAACTTCAGCAAATTCACTTAGATCTTAGCTATTCATTTGGTATTACGCGAATATCTTGTGTTACCTGAGTGAAAACTTATTGGTTAAACAAACAATAGCTACAATATGTTAGAAATTTTAACATCTCACAACTTCATTAATCTTTTACTCTTACATGCATTATCTTGCTATTATCAATCTTTGCACATTTAATCAACAAGAGTTTAAGTTTTTATAGCAGAGGATTTGTTAGGTTTATATTGTGGTGATTCTTTTACTTCTGCTGGTATTGCTGGCATTCTTTTTCCCATTAAAATTTTTATTAACATCATAATTAAGAGCAGCACAGTATGCAAACCATTCTCTGTCTCTGTCTGTCTCTCTGTCTCTCGCTCTCTCCCCCCACATACACACAAGCACACATCCTGTAACCTGTTTCCCTTGAATCCCTTCCTATTAACTCATCCCAAGCTATAAGTTTCTCTCACCGAGTTTTCCCAGTTCTCATAAGTTGTTTGAAAAAATTGTATTTGGAAACTTTTTCCTAATCTAAACCTTTCTTAGATTTATAAACAATGGTAATTTGAACATATATGACATGTTAATTCAAGCAACACTCCCAAAATTTTTAATCATATGTTAAAACTTATTCGGTAATTTGCCTCCCAAGCTATAAGTTTCTCTCACCTAGTTTTTTCAGTTCTCATTTGGAATCTGTAAACCTTTGTTGGATTTAGAAACACTGGTAATTTGAGAACTTAATGACATGTCAATTCAAGCAAAATTCACATAATTTTTAATCATTGATTGTCAAAACTTATTCAGTAATTTACATCTATGCTTTCAAGACCTTGAGGCTTGAGGGATGCATAATGGTACTCTAATTGAGAGGCACGTTTTCTTCATATTCCTCTACTACAGTGATGGATAGTTTGTAGTCACACTCATTCCGGATCAATTTACTTGTCGAACTTTTGCTTGACATTGATTACAAAGAAAATACAAAAATCGATTACCAACCCAGCTAATGCACCTTACATTAAATTGTATGGAAATATACCAAAGTTTACCTTAATCTCACCACCAATTGCATTTGAATTATTTTAACGGTTTATGTGGCACAGGAGTAACTATTGAAAAATAATTATTACATTTTGTCTTAAAAATGAAAAAGTTAATTTTTGTTTTAATTGTAAATGACACATGTTAGCTTTATAAAAAAAAAAAAACTATCTTTTTAATTCAAAATTTCACCTTGTTCAAGATAAAAATCACAATAATAATTTTACTCTTTAAAGGCATAGGATAGATAAACCTTTAGGTCAATTGGATGGTTAATTAAACTAAGGTGAATTTTTTTTAATGTTAATTAATGTCAGCAAAGTGCATTAATTGCACTCGGAAAGGCACATATTAGGAAGGATTTTTTTATGGTGCAATAAATGTATTTTTTAATAATTAATTTACATAAAAATTAATAAAAATTAACTTGAATTTAATTAATTAGTTAATTAAAACTTGTTTACGTGGTATTAATATTAAAATAAAAGTTAACTTTTGTTATTTTTTGTATAAATTAATTGTAAAAAAATACATATATTGCATTTTTAACCCTTGCCCTTAGGGCCATAGGTTAGATAAACCCTATTAGAAAAACTATGTTCTTTTTAGAATAGAGTAATTATTAATATTTTCATCTTAAATTATCTGTTGCCATAAATAACTAGTAAATAATTTTAGGTTATACTTCTATATAACATATAAATAACAATTGAAAATTCTTCTGCTTCTATACAGAATTTTCTTATGAATTTCATTTGATCAAAAAATATTTTTAATTATCATTCCTATGTTATATAAAAGCATCACATTAATTTATGTGCATGTTAGTTAAAGATATTTGAGGGAGGAATAAAGTCCTTTTTTAATAGATAAAATTATGGATTTTCAATAAGGGCAACATCAAAAATTTTAAATATAATGCTTTATTGAGAGTAGAAATTGATGAGTATTCTTTTAGAAAGTGTGGAGTATAGTACTACAACTACAGAATTAGCGCAAGTAAAAGGAAAGGCCATGGTTTTGTCCACACGAAAATATTGTGGTTGTGTTTGATTTGATTGATTTTATCAGCTTATAGGTGGTTAGAGTGTTTGAAAATATTAGTATGTAGGTTGATTTCAGCTCAGAGTTTTAACTATCAGTTGTTTCTAACAATTAAATTAAACATTTACAGTATTTTTATGTGACCATAACATTTATTTTTGTGGGTTATGACCTTAACATTTATTTATGTGGCCATAACCATGAACACATCTTTTTTATTTTATTACAGAAGAATAACCATGCCCACATCAAATTACAAATCAATCAAAAACACATGTTGCGGGCTTTGAGCCCGAAACTTAGGGCCTATTTGGTTAGAGGTTTTTTCAGAGAAGGTGTTTGGGAAAGTACCATATGAAAGCTTAATAAGTTTTATAATTAAGTTTTGTTAAAATCTTATTGAGTTGTTAATTTTTTTGTATTTAGTTAGAAATTTATATAGGAAGAATTAGTAAAAAAAAGTTCTTAAATGTGTACCACATAGCGAAAGTTGAGGCGAAACTTTTTTTCCCTCAAAAAAATATGAGAAGAAAAGTTTATTAGTTGAGAATTATATTATTAAAATAAAGGCTAAAAATGTCAACTTAATCCTCCTTTTATTGTAGTATTAAGATGTGAAAATACGTAAATAAGCTTGAAGAATTCAAGGGAATTTCCTCTCAACCAAATGCCCTCTTAGTGGTTCTAACCACTGTTAGGTTGAGCAAATGGCAACAATTGCTTTCCCTCCTCACCCCCCTTCTTTTTTTGGAGAAACGCAACACATGCTATTTGATAGCATGTTTTGTTTGAGGAAAATAGAGGACGAGGGAAAATTGAGTTTTTTAATTAATTAAATTGTAACATTTTTAAATATTGTAATTTAATTTGTCAAAACATTCATTTCTCCCTGCCCTCCCTTCTGTTTCCCTCAAACCAAACAAACCCTATGTGTTGTGGTTGGAGCCCCTTCCCCTTTTCAAATTGCCACTCTCTAAAAGGAAAACCTAGTGGTTCTGGATCGAAAGCCTTTATTTACCATTGAGCAATGCTTTTAATAAGGTGAGTTTGACAATGCTTTTGAAAAAAATGCTATTCCTTTTGTTTCAGTTTAATTATCTTATATAAGTTTTTTTTATGATAAATTAATATTAAATTTGAGTATTTCAATTTAGTTGTTACATTTTCTATTTATATGAAACATTAAGATTTCATTTGTCTATGCTACGCTATAATTTGAAGTTTTTTTTTTCTTTTATTATCTCAAAAATATATGAAATATTAATTAAAAATAGTAAAACTATATAAAAAATTAATTAATAATTAAAATTTTACATTTTTAAATAAAGTATTTTGTGAAAAAGATATGTACAAAACACTAAAAAAACAAGGTTAAAAGGTAATAATTCAAACTTAACCCCAATGATCCTAAGCTAATTAAAAAAAAGAAAAAACCTTTAATAAAAAAAAAAAAGGTAATTTAAAAACAAAATAATGAAAGTTAAACAAAGCCTAAAATCAAGGGTGGAAAAATTGCAGGTAGTCGGTTGACTAATCACAATTAGGCAGAAGGCGGTGGGGTACCGCACTGCCTCACGCACTTTTTTACCCAATTTGGTAGTAGTTAGTCAAAACTAACTACCTTTTTTTTAGATCTAGAACATCATCATGCTATAATCAAAGAATAGTCACTGGAAACTTTTTCAGATGATCCTAACAAGCTTGTCTGTTAGAGACTTAAGAGTTGTAGTTGGAACGGTGATGGGACATGCCCTCATGCACCAGACCTTCGAAAGTGATTATCAAGCAAACTTGATCTGGGTGTGAGAGGTTGAAGTAAGGCCACGTCAGTTAAATGAAATGACACATTTTGACCCCCTTTTTCTTTTGGCATTTTAGTTTTTCAATTTTCTGCAATTTTTTATTTTTGATTTTTTTTTAAGTTTTTGCTTTTTTTGAAATAAAAAATTCAAAACTCCTAGTCGTGACTGATCTAGCTTGGGCGCTGTTGGACGCTAGGTGGTGGGTCACCGCCCAGCCTCTGCCTACTGACTTTTGCAATTGCCTATGTTGTTTAGCTATGTTAAAAAAAAGGGAAAAACTAAAATGAAACGACAAACGAGATGAGTAAATCACCTATACATGAATCAATAATAAAGAAATACTTTCGAAACCTAGCTCATGTCCTTTGTGGTTATCGTGTGGATGCTTCATCCACACTATTATGGTTCAAATCCCTTGTACCACAAATGACCTCAAATTTAATTGTTAATATCATATAATATCAGCTTTCTGTTGTTGCTAGTACAAATA